TAGGGTCTTTATAGCAAAACTGGAAGTTCAGCTGAGTAATTTAATGCTCAGCTGTATGCCTGAGCTATTTGTCCTAGTCCAGGCCGTCTCTCTATCTGTGCACAACAGCGCCCCCTGCTGTTTTTAAGCCGCTTTACAACAGTTGCACCAAAATATGTAAACCTGGTTTGATGCAGTTCCGGTGTCCTGTCACTAGAGGGTGCTACTTCAAACCTTTCTGCTCTCATTGGAGAAATGGTTCCTGGTTCCCTCTGAGATTCTAATCCTAACCTTCTTGCTTATTTCAGCCCAGAACAAGGCTCTTTTCATTTTGTCATTTTTTTGTTTATATTTAATCTATAAATTTTATCAATTTTTTTTTCAAAAGTGTTGTTTTTTTTTTATAGATTATGTGTATTTTTTTTTTTTTCAAATTTAAGTTTTTCGAATAGATTTTTACGAATTTATTTATTTTAAAATTATGTGTCACAGATGGTATTCTCTTCATTTTTGGGGACGGAACAAAGACGTATCTATCGGTCGACATGGATGTTAGCAATTACGTTTGTGTTGGTTTTTATTGCCATTTGTGAGCATTTGTATTAGGCTTTCAATCTACAATTTGAAAAGCAAATATAAAAAAAATGAAATACTAAATCTGGGTCAAAATCTTTTTCAAAGTTTCATTTCTGTGGATTACAATTTTCTTAAACTTCCATTTACAAAACGTATTCTTTGCAGGTAGCAATAAAGCAACAAAAATCACACCATAGGCTGGTTGACCTTTAGTGACCCCTACATTGATATCTATTATAACTGAAAGCAGCACAAAATTTTAACTTAATTTGTTTGATTAGATGAAGGATGCTTCACTTGGCTACAAGAACTTGATTCTAAACTAAACCCGGTTCTGGTCTGGAACCAGTTTCTGGCTAATTTTTATTATTTTTTTCCAGTTTGTTTAACCTTTTCTTATATAGCAGATTAGAACTTGCTGTCATGATAGCTGAGGTACTTCATTTTGTCCGGACTCCTGGTGTCCAACACCCAGATCTCCTCCATTTCCGGATGTTTTCTCTTTCTTTCTTGGTGTGTTTAAAAGCTGCTGATGTGACATGTTTTATTTTTGCTGCTCTGTCTTTATAAGTTCTGTTGAACCTTATGTGTTTAAAGGGAAATGTGTGGAATTGGTTCCTCTGATTTAAGAACTCATCCAGACTCTTTTAATCTTCACTTATTTATACAGTTTGAAGCTTTTTAATCAGACCTGTATGGAAAGATGTTTTGAATTAAATCAGAAACGCAAAAGTTCCTCTGAAATAAATCCTGATTTTAACCCAATGATGTCTTCTGATTTGATCTTTTTTTTTTCAGTTTATATTTGGTGTAGTGATCTGAACCTGTTTCCATGAGTCAGAGCAACATTTCTTAGGAGAGCTGGAGCTTAAAGCATCATCGCTTCAATCATGTTGCTCTTTTCATCCTGTTGTAAAAAATCGACCCAGCCTTCTGCTGGTAGATATTTATTACTGCAGCCAAGTAGTTTTGGGATGCTTGAATTCATACTGATTATAAATGGACCATGATTGCTGGAACCGATCCCATAATAGAGGACACCATGTTAAACTAACCAAAGCATCATTTCAGAAGCCTAAACTCACTTTTTTTTTTTTTTTT